CCACACACACACACACACACACACAACTAGCCTTTGAGACTGCAAATGTGTGTTGTCCTCTATGATAAGAAAATACTACATGATAAATTTAATCTTGGTAAAATTGCATATACCTCCCTATTATGATCTTTTAAACCCTTATATCTTTTTGCTGTTAGTTTTAATAGATCCAAAACCTTAAAGTCTATGGCGAAAAGACAAAACATTGCAAAAAAAACTCCTGTACCCCCACCCTAGTCCTAAAAAAGGAAAACAAGCACACAGTTTTAAAACAATAATTTGTTTTGGGGCTTCAAAATAATCGTGGCTCCTCACTCCTCGCTCTCTCTCTCTCTCTCTCTCTCTCTCTCTCTCTCTCTCTCTCTCTCTCTCTTTCTCCTCTCTCTCTTTCTCTTCTCTCTCTCTCTCTCTCACTTACCTGAACCTCTTTTTCCTGGTAATGGTGGCAATGGAAAAGGCAATGAAGACAACAAGGAAGACCAGGAAGTAGACAATGATGATGATGGTGATGATGATGATGATGATGATGATGATGATGATGATGATGATGATGGTGATGATGATGATGATGATGATGATGATGATGATGATGATGATGATGATGATGATGATGATGATGATGATGATAAAACAAAAATTCCATGAATTACCAAACTCAAAATATCTACATAATACAAAACCCAAAAAACATAATGGTACCTTTTGCTTTCTTTGAGCACAGAGTGGTGGATGATGGGCCTCACAGTCGCACGCACAGAGACAGCCAACCTGCTCTATGCCAATGGGGCGTGGCTTCCAGACAACCTGAACACATCCCTGGCAGAGCTGTCTGAGTACACCTGCTTCGCACACAGAAAGGCCAGTGTAGATACCATCTCTAATGTCGCTTGTGACGCTTCTCCCTTCATCTGTGAGACCAACGATGGTAAGGAATTGGACTTTACTGGTGGGCGAAAAGAAATATTCTTTTAAACTATACCTTGTTTTGGTGAAGATCCACAGGGACCTTCAGAATCCAGTTTGGCCCCTCTGTCTGCCTGCCTGCGTGTCTCTTTCTCTTTCTCTCTCATTTTCCTCTCTGTGTCGGTCTGTCTGGCTTTCTGTCTATCTATCTATCTATCTATCTATCTATCTATCTATCTATCTATCTATCTATCTATTTATCTATCTTTGTCTCTCTTTCTTTTGTCCTGTCTATATCTTTCTCATTCTTCATCCACCCCCTACCCCTCTCTTTTTCTCTACCTCTATTTTTTTCCATTCTATCTATCTTTCTCTTTCTCTATCTTCTTCTCTCTCTTGCTCTCTCCTCTCTCCTCTCTCTCTCTCTCTCTCTCTCTCTCTCTCTCTCTCTCTCTCTGTGTGTCTCTCTCTCTCTCTCTCTCTCTCTCTCTGTGTCTCTCTCTCTCTTTCTCTCTCCCTAATTCTCTTCTTTTGTATAGACTTTCTCTTTTTCGTTAAATAAGTTTGAAAGACAAAGAAGCACGTCTTGAGACTATCAACATATCCTCTGCAAGACATAGAGCGTAATATCTTCAGAAAAAATTCGCAATTCATAACTGTCTTTGCCAGTTTCTCAACGAAAGTGACTATTGTTCCTTCTTCTCATTTTATGTGTTTCTCGCCAGACTCACCCCCCCCCCCCATTTACCAAGTTATTAGTATTAATGATTACAACCTTAGCCACACCCATTTTTATCCACTCATCCATCAAGGCTGGCTATCCATCCAAGCTTGCTGCCATGGACTCTATCTCTTCTTTCACTTATATTACATTGTATTACATGTTAATACACCATTGTGGATGCCATCGTGGTGAATTCAGGCGATCGTCAAAATACTTGATGTCAAAGAAATTAGTATTTCTACACTCGTTGGGCTATATCCTCTAACATCAGGCGACCTCTACTCACTTCGATTCGACTTTGTAAATAAAGTAAGTTCAATGAACACTTTTAAAAATGATACCATTAAGTCTTGATGCCCCCCACCCCACCCCCACCAAAAAACAAAAACAAACAAGAAATGGCGGACGCCTGATTCCACTGTGTTGTGACAAAAACGCTGTAACAACGATTTCAGGTTACGTTGGGTGTTTCGAGTCTCCACATTCCGACTTCAGGGAGTTCACCATGTATAAAGACATCAATGTGAGGCAATGTATGGAGTCCTGCAAGAAAAAAGGTGGGGCTTCAAATGCTCTGTGTGTCGTTGTAAAAATATGTCTCTCTCTCTCTGTCTCTCTCTCTCTCTCTCTGTCTCTCTCTCTCTTCTCTCTCTCTTGCCCCCCCCCTCTCTCTCTCTGTCTCTCTTTCTATCTCTCTCTCTCTCTCTCTCTTTTCTCTCTCTTGCCCCCCTCTCTCTCTGTCTCTCTCTCTCTTTTTCTCTCTACCTCTCTCTTGCTCCCCCCCCCCCTCTCTCTCTCTCTCTCTCTCTCTCTCTCTCTCTCTCTCTCTCTGCATTTATATTGCGCATATCCTTACATTATCTAAAGCATGCTCTTTGAGTTTACAACTTTTACTACCCACCAGACAAAAGGTCACAACGTACAAACAGTCTAGGCTTCCTGGGAAGTATGCGATGCAAGCTGACAAAATGACGAGATTTTCTGCTGACAATAGCTGAGTGCGCATCCACCTTAGTGAAGTAAGGACAACATCCCAAGGACACAACATCGAGCCCCTCATTTGATGATAACTTACGACCTTACTGTTGAGAGTTCGAAAGTCTTTGTATTGTATATTGAACATTCAGCATTGCATATTGAACATTCAGACAAAAAGATCAATCATTAGGTTGCACGCTTTCCTCAGCACCACCGCCGCCCCCCCCCCCTTTTTTCTTTCCTGCTTACTACGCCTTCCAAATTTTCCAAAATACCTTCACCACCCCAATTACCATCTCACTCCACTTACACCTAACCTCCACCCCACCTCACCCCACCTCCATCTCACTCACCCCCACCCAATACATGCTCCATCCCACCTCAGACCAAGTGACTGGGTGGTTGGAGGGGCTCTGGTGTGTTTTGCTCTTTCTTTCCTACCTCATTCCTATCGTCTTTCTCTCCCCTCTTTGTTTGTCTGTTTGTTTGTTTGTTTGTTTGTTTGTTTGTTTGTTTGTTTGTTTGTTTGTTTGTTTGTTTGTTACTCCCTTGTGACCCCTCTAATCTTCGGCACTTATATGACCTTATTGTGTTGCAAGTGCCGTAAACTCTTACGAAAAACAACAACAAAACAAATAATCCAAATATATAATAAACTAAAGTCTTTCTGCACCTGTTCTACTGTTTCAATTCACCTCAGAGTCCACCTACATGGGTTTGGCGAAGTCAGGCAGCTGTTACTGTGTGGAGATGACCAATCTCACGGCAGCAGGGTCAGAAGAGAATTGTAATACCTTCTGCGCTCGCAATCAAAACTGTGGTGGAAGTGATCCTTATGTCGGAGTCTATACAATAGGTGAAGATTCTATTTTTATTAAAAATCTCTCTCTACTTTATAATTACAAAGTTCTAACTGGCCGTTTTGATTAACTAAGACCAATAGATCACAAACCAAATGTCCTATCTGCTCTACCATAATTGTAAGATTATTCGGAGTCATTATTAAGATATTCAAAGAATTGCATTTGAAAAAGTTTGACATTTTATGAAACTCAACTTTCTTGAAAGAGGAGGGGGTTGCGAAGTTTTAGAAGTAGAATTCACGAAAGAATGGCCTACAAAATTTGGTGACGCTTATAGTTTGAGAGTCCTTGGAAACTGATAATTCACAAGTTTTTGTGTACCTGCAAACAACGTTTTCCGGTAAAGCCCACTCAGAAATATTTTAATAGACATAAAATGTGTTAAATTAAGTAATGAAAATTCCATAAAAATTGCCAAACCGGCCGAAAAATTATGGTTTCTTGAATTTCATTATTTTGACGAGCGCCTGATTTCACCATGATGCCTCACTTTTGTTCTCTCCCAGATTACAAAAAGAACGCTACCTCGTGCGAGGAACTGTTTGTTCAAGGTGTTCTTATCCCTGGCCAGTATTCCATCAATGGCTCTCTGACCTACTGCGGCATGAAACGTGAGTATAGTGGCCACATACGTTACATTACAGCAGAAATGACAAATAAAAACATTAGAAACAACGAAATAATAATACTTAGACTATCTTTTTATCACACACACACACACACACACACACACACACACACACACACACACACACACACACACATAAACATACATACATAGACACATACATACAGGTACACATTCACATACATACACTTACACACGCACTGCACATACCCATGCACACTAATGGACTCAAATCGACTGCTCAGTGTAAGACTCCTTAAAAAATTCATACGTCGCTTTTCAAAATGGCGTTTTGGGGAGTCTTAAAATAAGCAGTCGAAATGTACACCCACATTCACTCGTACCGCCACAAAAACACGTACACAGACATAGGTACACATACTATAATATGCACGCTAACATACACGCTCATACAACTCGTACACGCACTCTACCACAGCTGAAGGAGAACGGTCCAAATCTTTAGAATTAAATGCTAGATCTAGGCCTTGCAACGTTACAAAAGGCTGTTTACTGACACCCTTCTAAAAAAAAAAATCGCAATAGACTTTGTAAGGAGATATAAATATAACAGTGCATGAAATTAAATTAAAAATCAACAAACTAGCAGACCTACAGAAAAAGTTGGCCTTGTAATAATTCTTTTTTTTTTTTCAAAACAGAAGTACTGTTATCATGACGAGAAACTATTTTCGTCATTCTTTATGGCAAACCTCAGACAGAAATTAAAAAGTTCAAGCACTTTAGCATCATTGCCCTAAAATTGCAGACTGCATTGACAATAACCGCCAAAGACTTAGCGATGCATCGATCGCGTTTTGTAACATAATATTATAACACCATCTGGAATTCAAAGATGACCCCATTGAAGACTAAATAATATGTGTGTGCCTAAAGAAAGGTACCAAAAGTCGGATTTTTAACTATTTTGAGATAACGGTTGTATGTAATAGGGCATCGAATGCTGAACACATTGGGTTTTTTTTATTTTTGAGATATCTCAAGTAGTTTTTTTTAATCGATATTGCACATTTTGCGAGGTAAGATATAAAGATCTAATTTTGAGAAAATTAGCCTTTAAGTTTAGAACACAAACACTCTTTTAAAAAAACGGATGATTCAATTGTTTCTAATGTATTTATTCATGGAAAATTCATTCCCAATTCGGCATTCAGTTGACATCAATATCATGACTAGAATTCAATGGTAAAACATGGCAGGGAAGAGAAAACATGCTTCAAGAATATATTATAACACCTTTTAAAAGCAGTTTTCATTGTCTTTTTAAAACAAACCCTACCCCAAAATAATTCAAAATAAAATATTTAGAAGTCAAATCAACGAAAACTCTTTTAACACATTGTCAAAAATGGTGGAACTATCTTTTTTTTAAAAATGGAAACGCATTTTGGTTTTTTTTAAAGTGATTAAAAAAGTAATTCTCAGCCTGTAGCTCAATAATGTCTGTGGCGACTTTTTGTGCCTTTCTTTAGGCACACACACATACAAGAATATTAATATTGAGTCAGCAGGACTGATGTATGGTTTGTGTGTGTGTGTGTGTGTGTGTGTGTGTGTGTGTGTGTGTA